CTTTTCAGACTTGTTTCAGCAATATTCCGAAGTCTGGGTGAACATGATGGGAAGGTTGATTTCTTAGTATGAGATTTTTTTCTTATTTTTAGCCATCCTTCCATCATTAATTTCTAATTTTATTACACTATAGTTGGAGTACACTGTATTGACTATATGTGAAATGGTGCTACAAATGTATATTCTTTATGTGTTTGGTATAGTTTATTAAATAGATAGAAAATAGTTTGAGTGCATATTAGTGTTGGGATCTTTGAGAGGGGTGTCTTATAGGGCGTGGTGTTTCTTTCTTTCTTTCTTTTTATGGAGCCTAGGTTTTGATGGGAACAAATATCAGTAAAACATGAAGTTTGCAGTCTTCAGCCTGAGTGAGTGGACCTTGTGATTAGTTACAGAGAGCTGGGCAGTGAGTGGGAACTCCCCTGTGCTCTGCCCTGCACCTAATAGATAAGGAAATGGCAGGTTGTTGAGTTGATATGGCTTACCCAGGGCCACAAAGGTATAAGTAGTAGAACCAATATTTTTGCCCAGATCTTTTGAGTTCAGTTCCAGTGCTCTTCTGCTCTGTTTTGTACCAGTGAAGATAGGTGGTAGGTTACCGCTACCTTCGAACATCATCTTTAAACTTACCATCTGCACAGTCTATAATATAGTGTCATTGGATCCTTACCAAAAATCCATTAGAGACAGTGCTGTCATCCTAATTTACTAATTCCCAAAGATACAGCTAACATAACAAATCTTAACAACTGTTCATTAAAGAAACTTGTTCATGTTCAGAGTTTCAAGCCTTTGTCTCGCTTAAGTGTGTGCATTTTAAGGGTAGGGTGTGTATCAGAGTCCTGGCAGGAAACCATTCACAGCAGATGTTTCAAATAAAGACTGAATCAGGATGACTAAGTCATGGGTAGGGCAGGCCTAAGACAGTACACAAGGGATAGAGGGGTGAAGGGGGAGCCTGGAGTGGGCTGGAGCTGTGGCGTGAGGCCTGATTGATGGTCCTGGAGGGATGCAGCTCTGCCACAGACGGAGCACTGAGGCAGGGAGGGAACAGGAAGGAATGGCCCCATTTTTCTCTGCTCCCTCCCTTCCATCTCCCGCAAGTAATGTGTCCCAGGGCTGAGGCCATTTAGCAATGGGCCAGCTAGGGTAGCCCTCCTGGGGTGCAGAGCAGGAGGGAGAAGATAGTGGGGGAGAAGCAAATGGAGAATATCAACACTGAGGAATGATACCAGGGTGGAGTTTTCTGAGGCCCAAGAACAAATATTAGAAATTAAAACATTAAGAAAGGAAGTTTAATGGAACTGAAAAATAGGGTAAATTGTGAGAAAATGTAAATTAGGAGCATGTAAATGATGTGGGTTCCTGTGTAAGTTAGTTATTTGGAAGAAAACTGTGAACCTTCCCTTCCCCGAATTCGCTACTATGAATACAGAATTTTAAAACTTCTTTAGGATCATTTTATAATCTTACTTGCCATTCAATTCTGATTTTCTCCCTTAAAATACAGATTTTTAAATCCCTTGACATAATTTCAATAATTTTTGGTAGACTGAAAATAAATTAGGAGAAAATTAGCTTACCTCTCGAAGTAAAAATACTTGGAGTATATATTCTTTAGGTTGATGGTATCTAACATGTTACAGTTATATAATTATGGTCATATAATTAGAAAATGTATATGTAATGTATAGTGTAATATATTTGCTAAAATGTTCCCTTCCAAGATAATCGAGTTAGAGTGGGTAAAACAGGAGATAGAATCAAATAATATTTTTGGGGACAGCATTGATTGAATTCTCTCCGTGTCATCTTTTTTTCTCAATCTTTGTTAAATTTTTGCCTTGAACTTCATTTATTTAGCATTTATTAATGATATCATGTGAATAGTACTAGAGCAGACTGAGGACTCTTCCTACAAAATGTGCTGTGAAGAATTATGAATTACTCTGACACTTCACAGAATACAGAATGTTGCTTTCAAAAGATTTCTAATACATAGAATATACTTAGAGATTATGAGGTTCTATGCAAGTTTTCTAATTTGAACTGTTCTAAAATTATTTAAGAGCATAATGCTTTTTTCTGGCAAGTTGAAAATAGAATAACCAGTGTACAAGAATGGCTCATATAAGATTTTTAAAACAAAACAAATTAAGAGGTTTTGGCAGGAGTAGAATCTGTTTTCCGTTGAGATTTAAGAATAGATGGAGAGTTAATGTGCAGAGGAACACAGGGAAGGCATCCAGCTGGCAGAATCAAAGCAAAGAAGATCCTTTTGCCTAAACCATGGGGAAGGTTCTTCGGGAAAGGGCGTGTTGGAGTCAGGGCCTGGGTTCGCAGAGAAAGCTAAGAGGAGCAGGAAAGCTGGAGAGGTTTCTGAGATATGTTGGAGTGAGCCCACAGATTAAAAAACAAAAGCATTATGAACTAGATTATATCATAGCCTTTGAGAATGTTCCCTGGCAAAATCCTGACTGCTCTGGTTTGTGCCAAGTGGCATAACTTTCGCTTCTTTCTGCTGTTACCCTCTCCGAATTCTCTCTGCCCTGGCTTCCCTTGGCTTTTGCGCAGGTGTCTAGGAGCTGTTGCAGAATTTGAAGGTTACTCTTCTAAGTGAACCAAAATTTAGGATGGTTATTTGGGTTGATAATAATATCAGGCAAAGAGAAGTTCCTTGTTTTTTTTTTTTTTTCTTCCTTGGAGCCCTCCATCCTCCTGTTTTTGGTCTAGACTTGATTGCTTTCTTGATCTGCTTGTGTCTCTGTGCTTCTAGAGCAACCCTCCATCTTACCGGGGATTCCTTTCCAGGATCCTCTACTTACCTGGAGCCAAGGTGTTCCTATTTCTGTTGGGGAGGTATTTTTAATACCTTCTATGTATGGAATGCCAATTTTGCATTTTTGTACTTGATGGATAGATTAGATGGATTAGATTAGAAATCTTTGTCCCTCAAATCTTATTCAAGTCTTTATCTGTTGTGACCTGTTCCCCTACCCCTTTGTCATCCTCCCCAAAGGCCACCTCAGATGTTTGTAGGATATTCTTTATATCCCTGGTATCTGAAATTTCAGGATTGTGACTTGGTATAGGTTTTATTTCCCTCCCTGTGCTGGGTCCTTACTCTTTCCTCACAATCTAGAAATCAAGTCCTTCAGATTTGAGAAAAATCTTGGCATTATTTCTTAGATAATTTCCTCCTGTCCTTCTTCTTCTATTTTCTTTTTCTGGAATTCTCTTTTTTTGGTCAGATATTGGACCTCCTGATGAAGTAATCCAGTAATATTCTTATATTTTCCATCTGTTATTGTTGCTGTTTATTTGTTGTATTTTTTTGAGACATTTCCTCAAGCTTATCTTCTAATCCTTTTTCTGGAATTTTATTTCTGCTACCATATTTTTTTAAGATTTTTTTATTTTTTAAGTAATCTCTACTCTTAACATGGGGCTTGAACTCAAAACCCTGAGATCAAGCGTCACATGCTGTACTGACTGAGCCAGTCAGGCGCCCCTCTGCTACCATATTTTAAATTTCAAAATGTTCTTTTGTTCTTGATGTTCCTTTTTCAAAATTGCATTTTGTTCTTGCTTTACAATTTTAATAGCTTCTCTTATTTTCCTCAGCATGTTAATTATATTGATTACAGTTTTATTTTTAAAAGATTTTATTTATTTATTTGAGAGAGAGAGAGAGAGAATGCCTGCACATGAGCAAGGGTGGGGAGAGGAGCAGAAGGAGAAGGACAAGCAGACTTTGCACTGAGTATGGAGCCCCATGCGGGACTTGATTCCGTGACCCTGAAATCATGACCTGAGCCGAAATCAAGAGTCGGTCACCTAACCAACTAAGCCATCCAGGCACACCAGATTACGGTTTTATTTTGAAGTTTTCCTTTTGTTGTCTGTGTAGTCTCTATTTCCTCTGAGTTTTAAAAAAATATTTATTTTAAGAGAGCGTGCATATGTGAGGCTAAGAGTGGGGAGAGGCAGAGAGAGAGGGAGAGAGAGACACTCAAGCAGAATCTCCATTGAGGGTGCAGCCCATCTTGGGGCTTGATCTCATGACCTTGAGATCATAACCTGAGCTGAAACCAAGAGGTGGATGGTTAACCAACTGAATCACCCAGGTGCCCCTGTTTCCTCTGAGTTTTTATCCCCTCTGTACCCTTGCTCTGGTCTCCAATTTTCATCTTGGACATTTTTCTTTTCGAGTTTATATTGATTCTTATGTGTCAACTCATTTTAGAATCTTTTCAGATACTAACAAGCAAACTGAAGGTTCCATCTTTTTTTTTTTTTTTTAAAGATTTTATTTATTTATTTGACAGAGAGAGAGATCACAAGTAGGCAGGGAGGCAGGCAGAGAGATAGGGGGAAGCAGGCTCCCTGCCGAGCAGAGAGCCCAATGTGGGGCTCAATCCCAGGACCCTGAGATCCCGACCCAAGCTGAAGGCAGAGGCTTAACCCACTGACCCACCCAGGCACCCCTGAAGGTACCATCTTAAGAGGTTGGTTGACTGGTGTGCTCCACCATAAGACGATCTAATAGAGACCAGTTATTTCTTTGGGAGAAATCCACACATAAGTACCTTCAGGTTTTTTTTGTTTTTATTTTGTTTTGTTTTGTTTTCCAGGAGACTATTCAGTGTCTCTAGAAAAATTCTTCAGTTCTCTTGCTTGCTGGGAATGAGCGAGGAGGCTCTTACTGTTTGGGTAGCCCATTGAGGAAAGAGGGGGAAGATTACATAGTTACTAAATGATGTAGGGGATGTAAACTCAAGTTATGTGACTTCAGAGCCCTTGCTCTGGGCTGCTATATGATTCTTACCTCCTATGTTAAAATGTAAATTGGGCTTTGTACCCTTTTACATCAAATATTTTGTACTTATTGTGTACAATAGCCCATTTTAGTCCTGTATCTGACAGTTAGGAACACTATGTATATGATGATATTTAATTTTTTCCATGTTAGAGATTTATAATTTGTTCTTAATTTGCAGCTTTTTTCAAGGAGCAAACCTCCAAGGGGCCTGTATGTTTATGGAGATGTTGGTAAGTGTGTTAAAGTAAGTTTTGAGTGGTCCAAACAGGAGGTTCCTGGCTTTCATTCAGGGGTATTTCTGTTTCCACCCCTCAGTCCACTACCAACTAGGGAATAGGATGAGGCAAAGTAAAAGGGGGAGTAGGGGAGAAGGGGGTAGTTATCTTAGTTTTCATTTTTACTTCTCACAGGGTGTGACAGTAGTTTAAAGCAAGATTACTTAGCATGCTAGGGTGCAGACATTGTTTAGTGTGTAAGCTGAGTTGATCTCAGGGAAGGTGATCATCTACAGATAGGTTCTTAAATAAATCAGAATCTCATTGCTCACTTCTGTTTGACTCAGCTAATCCTTAAAAAAATAGGCTGCTCTTTTTTACTTTTTTTTTTTTTTAATTAGCATGTAATGTATCATTAGCCCCAGGGGTACAGGTCTGTGTCTTTTTTACTTTTTTTTAAGATTTTATTTATTCATTTGACAGACAGAGATGACAAGCAGGCAGAGAGAGGCAGGCAGAGAGAGAGAGGAGGAAGCAGGCTCCCCGCGGAGCAGAGAGCCCGATGTGGGGCTTGATCCCAGGACACTGGGATCATGACCTGAGCCGAAGGCAGAGGCTTTAACCCACTGAGCCACCCAGGAGCCCCTCTTTTTTACTTTTAATGTCCACTCATATTTTACTCACAATTTAACCCTTGTCCTCAATTTAGTTATTATTATCTTTAGTTATTAGTGAATATTCTTAATGAATGAGTGGTTACGTTTCCTTGGTCTCCCACATCCATATATTGGGCACAAAGACTCACTTTTTCTTAGAAACCTTGTGAGCTGTTGCTTACTTTTTAGATTTTCCTAATCAGTCAATGTCTTGCTTCTTTTCCGACTTCATTCTTGGTGAAATTGTCTATTTTTTGGTGTCGGTGTTTTGCTTTCAGTTTCCTTCCCTCTTAGTTCTAATCCTCTCCCTATTTACCCACCTTCACTGACGTCATGATGGTAACTCTTACTTTATTTGGTCTTATTGCTTATCAATTCTTTTATTGGCTTAGTCAAAAAATAGACATTTACATATAGCAAAATCAGTTTTGCTCCTCACGTGATAAACCTCAGGCTCCCCTTACAGCCATAAAACCAATTTGCAATATGAGGAAGTTGTGGCAAAGGTTCTTCATAAGAATTTCAGGACAAGAAAAACAATAGGAACCTAGTAAGTTGTTACAGTGCCTTAAAGATCCAACTGTTCTTTCCTGGGTCCTCCCTCTTCTTAGTTGTTTTTGGATGCCTGTTTTATACTTACAGATTTAGCAAGTCTAATAAAAAGAATTGGTGAGTTCATAAACAAGTGAATGAGAGAGCTTGCTCCTTAAGATTCTTTATGTTCTTGGAGCTTACAGATTTGAAAACTGTCAAAGAAGCTCAAGCTGTTCTTTTTCTTAATTCATTGGCTAATTGGTATCTTTGAGAACAGCACAGGCTTTCTTCTTATTTAGAAAGCAATTTATACCAGGTGCTTAAGCAGTTTTATGTGTCCACACCTTTGGGTACTGCTGCAGCTCTCATTCTGTTGTCGTCTCCCATTCTTTGCCTCTTTGGAGAACATTTACTTCCTATACCTTCACTTTCATGTGTAGTCATTGCTAAAATCAACATCTTTGTTTCTCCTGTTACCTCAGCTACTTAACCATAAATGGAGATGGTTAGTAAAACACAACTGTTTCTACTTCTGCAAAAGGACTTAAAAAAAAAAACAAACACCCAATAATACCTCAAACTTATAAAAGCTATTAGATTTTAGTGTGGAAAATACAGCCATGTGCTAATAAATTGAGGGGAGGTGTGATAGATGTAATTCAGCTGAGTGCTTGAAAGAATTAGAGAGGATATGGTAACATCTGTGGTTGTTCACAGAACTGGGTGTGTGGCAACCTTTGGTTAAGAATGTCTTTACAGTGCAGAGAGGGGAAGAGAAAGGAATTGTACAGTAGGAAGGGAAGTGAACATTTTGATGACTGCTCTCAGTTTAGTTTAGAATACTTACAAAACGGGTAGTAAAAGAGGTCAGATTCTTATTTTGCGGGGGAGGGGGTGTTATCTCTCTGGGACAATACTCTCAGGATGTTCTCACAAGCTCGTTTGTGTTACGATTTTCCATTTTAGACTTGGGAAACAGGTGTTCAATATTGAAGACTACTCAACGGGAAAGATGTCTGTTCCGTAGTACCTACCCCCTTCTGCTCCTTATTCTGTACTTGCCCTGGGCTCTGTCATGATGTTATGAGATCTGACTCAGATGGACCCTCAATCCAGGGAACCCCAATAGAGTTGATATGTAAACTGGAGGCATTATCATCAGTGATTCAACCTTGAAATGTTTTCATGAATAAAGTGCTTAGCATATCTCATGCAGAAGCCAAACACTGCAGTAAGAGTGTTTTGTGGCTTCATTCTTATCCTATAGTTGGCTTTCTTTTCTTTTCTTTCTTAAGATTTTATTTATTTAGAGAGAGGGAGAGGGAGAGAACACAAACAGGGAAAGCAGCAGGCAGAGGGAGAAGCAGGCTACCCACTAAGCAAGGAGTCCAATGTAGGACTCTATCCAGCCACCCTGGGAATCATGACCTGAACCAAAGGCAGATGTTTACCGACTGAGCCACCCAGGCGCCCCAGGGTGGTTGGCTTCCTTACACCAATGTTCCAGCTCTTGACTAGCAGACTGCTGTGGTGATGACAGGGTTACTGATGCCTCCTGCACATTTGGAGAGAATCAAAGTCCATTTTTGTTTATGAGCCCCTTTTCTCCTGCCTCCTGGTTAAATTCTGGGCTTGGGTAAGGGAGGAGAGCACTTATAGCTCCTTCAGCAGGAGGGTTGGCTGTGAAAAAGGTACCACTGGGAGGGGGATGCTCAAGTGGTCATTTTTGGCTTCATATCTCTATAGGCTTGAAAATTAGAACTTAGAAGAGTTTTAGGTTTTAAAAATTACTCCCCTGGTTAAAAACAAAAACAAAAACAAAAACTTCTCTTGAGAAAAACAGACGGTTTTATTTAGGATACTATAGAGACCAAAGCAAAATTGTGAAGTAGATAAAATTTAGTGTTGGTTTCTTCCCCACAGTTTTTCAACATCTGCCCTCATTCTTTTTTTTTTTTTTTTTAGATTTTATTTATTTATTTGACAGGCAGAGACTACAAGTAGGCAGAGAGGCAGGCAGAGAGGGGAAGGGAAGCAGGCCTCCCGCTGAGCAGAGAGCCCGACGTAGGGCTCTATCCCAGGACCCCGGGATCATGACCTGAGCCGTAGGCAGAGGCCTCAACCCACTGAGCCACCCAGGCACCCCGACATCTGCCCTCATTCTTGCGCTCACTTGACAAAGGTTATTGAGTATCGGCTGTGTGCCAGGCATTTTGTTGTTTCTGTGGATGTAATGGTGAATAAAAGCAGACACAGCCTTTGCTTACCCAAAGCTTATAGATTCTTGCGATGGCTCTGAAATATTTTTGAACATGACCCACAGTAAAAGTATTTTTACATTCTGACCTACATATGTATGTGTGTCTACGGGTGCACATGTGCACACACACCCCTGAAAAATAATTTTATGAAAGAAAACTTACCTTTATGTGATACATTTGGATATTTTCTATTCTGTTCTAGTCTGTGAAAAAACAATTCTGGTTGTAGAGACAGTTTGAATAACACTGGTCTGGTGTCTCTAATAGGCATTACTAAATGTTGGCATGCTAGGTTTTGTTCCTGCTGCTTCGTCTTTTTGGGCCTTAGGGTTTCTCATGCTGGACCTTCCATAGGACACAGATTTCTCCTCTACTAGTTAAACTATAAACTACTAGTTAAAATATAAACTAGTTAAAGTATAAACTATTAAACATATTATCCCAGGATCTGCCTTCTAGCTAAATGTCTGAACTACTTCTAAGCTGTTTCTATCTAAACTATTCTAAATTACTTGCTAAAATTTTAATGGGTTCCATTGGTTGAGTAAGTTCCATCACCGATATATTTGCATATAAAAAGAGTCTTCTAGTGGCGCCTGGCTGGCTCAGCTGGTTAAGCATCTGCTTCCAGCTCAGGTCATGATCTCAGGGTCCTGGGATTGAGCTCTATGTTGTGCTCCCTGCTCAGTGGGGAGCCTGCTTCTCTATCTCCCTCTCCCTCTGCCCTCCCCCACCCCCGCTGTGCTTGCTCTCTCTCTCAAATAAATAATCTTTAAAAAAGAGTTTTCCAAGAGTTAGCATTTCACTGAAACTTGGTATATATGAAATGGGACGTAGTGATTAAGCTGACCACTTGGTGATTTGGGGCAGAGAAATCTTTTAGCATCTCTGAAATCCACTACACACAGGCTCGTGCCTACCATACTAAATCTAATGGTGCTTAGTATAGCCACATTGAAAGAATTTTACATTTTAGAAGGATCTTTGTTACCTTTTTCTTTCCTTTTTTGTAGTGTCATACACTTAACATTTCCCTCATATTCTCCCCAAACACTGGTGCGGAAGAAAGTCAAATATTAACAATTACTTGGGTATATCTACTAGTCTCTGTTAGAAGTAGAAAAAAAAAGTAGGTATTAGTAGAAATAAGAGAAAGAATGAATAATACAAAAGAAGTGGAAATTTAAGTACATACCATTTTCACACTCTAAAAATTAACATTATTTTTAATTTCATTAAGTAGTTACTCAGATTTCTAATTATGTCATAATGTTTGTTTTCAATATGATATTGTTAAGTCTTTAGTGTCTTTGTGTGTGCGTGATGTCATACCACAAAGATGCATCAGCAAAATTCACACTGTTACACATATATATAGACATACATATATAAACTAATTTGTCCTGTAGGATTTACTACAGCTTGGGCTTTGCTGATGCATCCCTGTGGTGTAATGTGAGTCTTCCAACTCTGTCTTTTTCAAGATTGTTTTGGCTAGAATAGAAGAGAATATGACTTTTGCATTTCCACATATATTTTACAACTATCTGGTTAATTTCCTTAA